CCCCCCCCCCGCCCAAGAGCCCATTTCTGGCGCAGGGGAGGGGGGCTATAATACAAGTAGCGGGGTGCTCGCCTCTCAACGCTCTGCCTGGAGTAGAATGAATCAACTATTATCTCCTTGCTCGTTTTATCATTCAGATCATTTTGAACTCCATGCACAGATACCAACCTCGTTTTCATGTGGTCTACGTGGACCCCAGAAAAGACAGAGAGAAGTATGCAGAGGAGAACTTTAAAACCTTTGTGTTCGAGGAGACCCGCTTCACCGCAGTGACCGCCTATCAGAATCACAGGGTGAGGATCTGGAGTTTATTACTGAGACACAAGCCCTCCAATACTTCATTTATCAAAACTTTTCCCTTGATGGATGGAGAGCCGGGAAGGGGAGGGAGTAAGGGATATTAATTCGGAGCAGTCAATGCTTAAAAGCCAATGGACACTTCATTGGTATACAAATAAATAGACTGGAATAGGGAAAGGTCTTTAGCTTCTAGGAACTGGCTATTCACCTTTCCGCCTGGTCTCTAAAAATCGAGTGATTTTACTAAATACAGTTTTGAAGCAACTTACTGCAAAAAAAAACTTAAATAACAATGAATTATGCCAGATCTGCAAAGCTCAGATTTCGTTTCTAATCAGAGAGCTGACAGTCTTGGTTTAAGCACTTTTTCATCAAATTGTTTAAAACGCCACTGGCAGAGTAATATTGGGACTTTTGTTTTTTACTTGGCTGTCTATCACGATTATACAAATAAGAGCATTATAAAAAGGAACACGCCACACCGCCTCCCCCGCCCCCAAGCAACAGTTCCAGTGAGCATTTCGGATTCTGTAAGAACACAAAAAGTATGTTCGTTAAGTCTATAGCAACTGTGAAGCAAGAGCCCTTTGGAGGTCACAGCCACTCTTGGAACGGGGATTGCTAGAAGATATACTTTATCATTTTCGCCAGGGAATCGTTATACATCTCATATCACCATGTATAATAAAGATTAAGGAGGGTTTCAGGGGAAAATACAACACTATGCTATAGGCTTAGTTAAGGGGAGAAGGGGTAAGTATGTATGACCTGATCCGGTTGAAATAACTAAGCATTTAGTGGGAAAACAAGTAAGACATTAATAACAAAGATATAATCATAACAAAGCAAACATAGACGTTACTTTCCATTGCTTTAGGTGGATCCAGAGTCAATTTAATATATGACATGTCAGGCTAAAACATACTTTTGTCTGGAATTATAATCTATAACATTTAAATATACAGTTTTATTATTTAAACGGCCATCTGAGTGATTTATAATTGGAGGGAAGCGAAATTGCTGTTTGTATTAGAAACACACTTTCCACCTTAATCATTAATGTACTTGTGTGTACAAGCAGTCAAGATATTAAATTATTTTATAGTCGCCCCAAAGCCTCTTGGAAGAGAAAACCCTAGGTTACCTAAGAGAGAAAGGAGACAAGCGTCTGAAGTGCAAACCATTGGAACTTGATCCAAAACTCGCTGAAGCCAGTTTCGCTGCATTTTGGAATAGGCCTCAGGTCGCTTTGGGGGTAGAGCAGAGCCACCTCCTGAGCGGCGGCTACTGTTCTTCCCTGAAGCAGTTTGCCGTCCTTTTCTGCATCGCTGAAGATTCCTCCACGTCTGGGGCCTTGAGATGCCGAACTGCGGTTTTTAAGAGTCGGTCTCTGAATCTCCATTCGAGTTGTGGAAAGCATCTGGAGAGATGTTCTCCTGCTCCTCCTATCCATCTGCTAAACCCATTCCTTGACTTTTCCCGGAATCTGATAGCTCAAGGAGTCCTGCTCTGAAACTACATTGCTGCATTCGGAGGAAGCTGCAGGAGCTCAGAGTTGCAATTTTAACTCCATAGAAAACTTCCTCAAACCCAGAGGGACATCATTACCTATGTAAACCCGAGACCCGGGCTAGATGGGAAACTACACCCTTCCCGCTGCGAAATGTCACTCAAAATTTGTTTGGACAAATCTGCTATTTTTACTTCTCTGCATTTGCCATCCTGGTCTGTTCGTTAGGAACACATGACTACTAGAATGTATTTGGGTAGCGGTAACTCCAGTCGCTTTTAAAAATAACATTAATTTCACATAAAACGTGGAGCGAATGATATTTATAAATAGAATTTCAAATTCAGTCTTTTCCAATATTATTATCGAAGTCTGAGAATTCCACACCTCTTGTTCTCTCTCTAGCTCTTGGGTCTTATATGACCTCTTATTTTGTTGTCTTTTATTTGATTCTTTCTATCTTTTTATTAGCACCGTTATTCCCAGGAAGCAAAAGGTGTAGATCCCATCTTCGGAAATTGTCTCAAGCTTTAAAAATAAGCACATTTACACGGATGAAAATAAAATCCACAATTATTATTTGGACAACATCCAAACTCCACATAGTCAAAGACGTCTGGGCTGGGAGCTGGGTGCTGTGCCTTTAAGGGGCTCCCCCATCGTTCCCAAGTTGGCATTTGCCTGATGGCTCAGGACAGCTGCTCTTTCTCTCCTGCTTTCTATCAGTTTGACCTCTAAGGCTGGAACTGTCACTGAGGGGCTTAAAGTTTGTTTTTCAACCCATTCCGGAAACTCACAATCACATACTTTATCCGTGGATTTGCTTAAATATAGAAAATGTCCTGGCTTCTCCCTGGCGAATTAAATAAATACATAAGTATGATTTATCCAGTGATTTGTCTTAGCTGCTCTGGTGGTGACCCATATAATGTGGCATTTTTTTTACAAGTGCATTTACACAGTTTTAGCAGCAGACTCAGGCTACCTCTCCCTTCGCCTTGAACTCGTATTAGATGGCATACAATTCTGCATTTTCAAGCAGAGGGAAACCACATGTCTGTATCCCAAAGCAAAGAGAGCTCTCAAACCTGCTGGTGCCTATAATTCTCCAAGAGGAACCAGGATTGCACATACTCCTTGCGCCCCTATTCCCCATTATTCTGGCTGAAACTTGGTTGATTTCTGTCCCAGAAGTCAGTTTAACTGAGTAGGCAAGCATTCTTTAATCTGAAATATCTGCAAATGCTACTAAAGTCCTTCCACCTTCCCACCTTTCAGATCACACAACTCAAGATTGCCAGCAACCCCTTTGCTAAAGGATTCAGAGACTGTGATCCAGAAGACTGGTAAGTCTGATGTCCTTTACTAACCACATTGAGACCCCGTCCCCATTCAGCAAGTAGCTTAAGCATCTGCTTAGCCCCAAGCACCTGAGTAGCCCAATTGACTCCAGTGGGATGGGAAGAGGTCCCACTTGCATACTGGAGTTATTAATAGGGCCATGTTAGTCAGAGCAAAGCAATTCCCCTAACGTGTAGGCAGTGCCCTTTAGACTGAAACAATCAGAGTGCTGTGTTATGCTTTTCTTCCTGTTCCAGGCCCAGGAATCACAGACCAGGGGCCCTTCCTCTCATGAGTGCTTTTGCCAGGTCCAGGAATCCAGTAACTTCCCCTGCACATCAGAACGGAACAGAAAAAGGTGAGCTTCCTTCATCTTTCCAGACTTACCTGCACTTTCCATTTACATAGAAACACAAACATCCTGAATATTTTCTTACTGGTGTTACCAGTAATTAATCAAAATCAAGGGGCTGAAACATTTCATTTATCTTTTGCCATTTATACTGGGGTGTTGTTTGGGTAGTTTTGGCTGTTGTTTATTTCCACCAATAGGGGCTCTAAAATAGCACAGGTTAATTTGTATTGTTGTTTACAGTCAGTTTCATTTTGATTTTTTCTTGCAGAAGTCAGAAAAGGAATGCTTAAATTCAAATTATTTTGACACATAAAAACATTGCTACTAATAACTGGATTATATATTTTCCCCCAAAGTGTTATCTTTTTCTTTTAAAACAAAACATGCATTTTGGGACTCATCTAGTCTTCGAAAGTATTTCTTAAACACCAGTCACTGTAGTAACTGAGTGTCACCCAGAAGGCTGGGGCTGCCTCTCCCTATTTGCTTCTACTTCTAACTTTCTTCTACTCTGCATTTTGACAAAATGTTTGCTTTACAGACAGAGGCATACCCATAGTCCCATATATCCTAAAGATGCTTCTTTGCATGCATTGCTCTTTTGAAAAAGCAACTCGGTTCTATTTTCTGTGTAGATCCCACAATATTCAGAAGCTGTATTTAATCTACTGCATGGCTTAAGCATGCACACTGGGAACTTTTCATTGAATTTTTCCCCCTCCATTACACAGAGTAAACAACTGCAAAGACAACCAGGGGCCTTTCTCCCAGCACACTCCAGGCCTATTAAAATAAAGAGAAGTCTGTATTTGTTTAGTGTTACACAATTGCAAAAATTTCAAGCGTGTACAAACTTGTCAGTCAATTTAGCTCTATTTATCACAGTCAGAATGTATTGTCCCAGGAGCACAGATTTCTGCTGAACACAATGTTTAAACACTTCATTTAAAAATCATTGCTCCCCTCAGCTCTTTTCCCTGTGTTTTCTCGTCCCCCCTCCTTTTTTAACATTGTCTTTGCAGTGAAATGAATTGAAGGCTCTCCTTTTTTAAAGTGAATATAGTGTTTAATTGAAAAGCTTACATGGGTAGAGGGAGAAAGATTTTTCCAAGCTTCCCTGTTTGTGATTGTTGGAGATCCAGGTTAAAAAAGACACTCATCAGACCCCATTATGCTAACTTCACCCCCCACTGATTCCACAGTGGGAATACTCACAGACAGAAGTATTTTCAGTATGAGTTAGGGTGACAGCATTTGACCCCTGTAAGGGCTGAAAGTGCTACGGAGAAGTCCTACAGTGCTGCAGCAAGGTTCCTGTGACTGCTACGGTTTGGACTTGCACTGCACAATACTGCAGTCATTTTTAACTGAGGGAATTAAATAATGTAACTTCCATTCTGTGCTCCCTCCCACTCCCAC